AACCAGGGCCCTCTGGCGTCCCAAGTCAGCTCTTAACCATCGCGCCACTCGGCCAGCCCAGCAAGTCTTTATATATATCACCTCATTTTGTTGCCGGAGGCTCACAGGGATGTCCAAGAGAGGGTTCAGCCCCAAGCAGCAGTGACCGGGTTCTTGTCTCCATGAAGGAATTCACGAGTGAGACAGATGCAGGAAGGTGAAAGTTATTGAAAATGAAAGTATACACTTGAGAGCAAAATGCCAACAAACTCAGAACGAGTTGTCCAGAGGAAGTCATGATCGGGAATTTTTATCTCTCCTGGGGCAGGAATTGGTGGCACCCCATTGATGTCGTTTATTCATCTCCTCTCTGTGGGGGTGGGGACCCTCCATTTCTTGCTTTTTCTTATTTGGTTCCTCCAGAACTGTCATGGTGTCAGCTGAGCGATGGGAGTCATAGTAACCTCAATGTAAATGAGATTATAATGACATTATAATTAGCTAAAGGTCAGGTCCCAGTCATAGGGATCTAGGCTAGCTGGATGAAACTGGTTCTTGTTTTTCTCCAACTGGAGGTACTGGATAGTCACTTGCCACTTATATAACCAGTGAGGCGTCTCACCTTGTACTAGGGGGTTGTCAATTTCCTAGGTTTTCCGTCCTGCCTCAATTTATTATTCAGCACCACTCCAAGGATAAACACTTTTAACATCTCCTGTGTTTACATATCATGAGATAATCATTTGATGTAAAACGAATGGTGATTGCACAACTGTACAATTATGAAAAATCACTGACAATGGGTGGGCTTTGCAGCCTGTAAATTATATCTTAATGAACCTATGAAGGAAGGAAAGGAGAGAAAAAGAGAAACGACACAGGTCCTTGTGGGTGCCCACAGCTGCGCGATGCCCAAAAGCTCTGCTAAGTTCAGCTTTTGGTGTTTGGGGAAGGCCTGCGGGCAAGGTATCCACCCTGTGGATGAGAGGACTCTCCAAGTTGGCCCGGTCTCCCTCACCCCGACTGCCTTCCTTTCCTCCAATCACTGATTTATCCTAGAATCTGGGTGCATCCGGGCCCCTCCCCAACAGCCCCAGACCATGCAAAGGGAGCTGGGCCCACTTCTACCCCAGGGAGCGCTGGGCTGCGGAAGAGGACCCTGGCTGGGAGTCAGAATCCCTGGGCTCAACTCCCAAGGGAGCAGGGAAATACGGCTCTGAGGATTCCCTCTCCCCAGCCCCATGCCCTTGGTCCTCAGTCCCTACAGCTGTAAAATAAGAATTTTTAACTGGTTTAACAACGATATGCCAGGCTCCTTTGACGTGCTTTACAAATATTAATTAGTGCTCACGACAACCCTATGAAGTAGGTGCTATCATTCCCATTTTATAGCAGAGGAAACTGAGGCACAGAGGCTTTGCAGGCTGCCCACGGTAGCACAGCCGGCTGGGGNGGGCGCAGCTCACTGGCCCATGTGGAAATCGAACCGGTGACCCTGTTGCTCAGAGCTCGCGATTTTAACCAACTGAGCCACTTGTCTGGCCCCTGTTTTATCTTCTTGAGCTTACCTTTACTACTTTCAACAAAGGACTTAACTTTTGTGCCACTCTATTTCAGATGATCAACATAACACCAAAAACTCAATCCCTCAGCAGGACATTCTTGCTGAAAAGACATTTCATGAAGCCAGCAAATTGTGTCTCACGAGCAACAGTTCCCAGCCCTCCATGTTAGGAGATTTGGAATGCCACAAAACAGAGAAGCCACACAAGCTGAGGAGGCAAAAAGTGAAGCAAGTTGCAGTTGTCCAAGAGAAAAAATCTCTGGTTAGAGACTGTGAATATCACAAAAAGAGGGAGAACCCTAAACCAAACTCAACGTTTGTGCCTGCACAGGGTGTATACCCAAAGGAATTGAAAACAGGTATGCAAACAGATACAGGTACTCTTGATTCCACAAGAAAATATGTCCCCAAAAATATTTTGAAACAAAATCATATCTTAATGAGGAATCAAAAAATCTATAAAAACAGCAAATATGATAGCAGATTGTGGCAGAGCATTCAGTCAGTTCCAAGTGTGAGAACTCCAACAGAGCTGAAATCAAACACATGGATTGATCATCAGAACCATGGGCTTCATATATTTGATCAAACTTATATGGAGGTAAACGTTCATGAATGGAGTCCATTTGGAAAAGTCTTCACTGAAGACTCTGTCCTGAGGGCACACAGGACTTGGGCTAAAGAAAAAATGTATGAGTCTAATGAGAATGAAAACACCTTCCGAAATAACTGGAGCTGTGCTGTGCAGATGCAATCCTATATGGCAGAGACAGATAATGAGAATAATGAGCATGGGAAAACCTTTGCCTGTGTTTCAAATTCTGATTCACGCAAAAGCACTAGGAGTGGAGAGATAACGTATAAATGTCAAGATTGTAGGAAATCCTATGTTTATCATTCATCCCTTATGAAACACATGAAAATTCACACTGGAGAGAAACCCCATGAATGTAAGAAATGTGGGAAAACCTTTCGATATTCCTTACACCTTAATAAACACTTAATAAAGCACAGTGTGGAGAAATCTCATAAATGCAAGGAATGTGGGAAAGCCTTCCGTAAGTCCTCAAAACTTACCGAACATACAAGGGTTCACACAGGAGAGAAACCCTATAAGTGTCAGGAGTGTGGAAGAGCCTACTTTACTAATTCAGGACTTAAAAACCATCTAAGGAATCACAGCTGAGAGAGGCCCTGTGAATGAAAGGAATGCGGGAAAATCTTTATTTTCCTCAAAATACTGAACACGTTAAAGAGGACATATTGGAAGGGAGCTCAGTAAGATAACATAGAGGGAAAAGTCTTTCTTGAACTATTGTATCTTACAGAAATGGGAAAATTCACACTGCAAAGAAAGCCTGTGAAGATAAGGTATGTGGAAAGTTTTTAATCTTCACTCATTAGAAGATATGTATTGTCACATTGGAGAGAAACCCTATGAATCTAAGAAATATGGGAAAGCCTTCAATGTTGTCTCAAATTCATAGTCCCTCTAAGAAGTCACACTGCAAAGACACCTTGTAAGACTAAGGAACGTGGGGAAAACCTCTTCAAACATTCAGTTCTTAAGTTTACACATGAGACCACACCTGGAGAAAGACTCTGATTGTAATAAATACAAGAAAGCCTTCGGTTCCCAGCTCTTCACTTACAGGGCACAAGTGAGCACACAGTAGGTAAGAAAACACAGTAAATGTTATGATTGCTGCCATTATTGTCTCATCCTTTAGTGGAAATCGAAATTTATTATTTCCCAGTTTTTCTTTTCTAATAAAATCCCATAAGATGATTGTCCCTCTATGTACCCTATCAGCTCTGCCACATGACTTTTGATATGTCGTGACTTCCTTACAATTCACTTAGCATACATACGATCTCATCAATATGTAGCCCAGTTGGAGCTGCGTTTGATTTAGATTTGGGTTGAATATGCTCTATGATGCTATTTTTGTCAGTTTGTTGTTTTGGGTTGAGATTTGACTGCACTATGGTCAGAGTATGTGGTCTTTATATAATACTGATATGGGGTACTTGTTCTCATGTGGCCGATTCTGTCAATTGCCTGGCTGTATCAATTTTTCTAATCTTTACTAAGGGTACATAGATTTTTTTTTTCAGAGTTAGTACTGTTTAATGTTTTTAAATGCATTTCCCAGTTTTCCTCATAACTGATGGTGGGCAGAGCATATAGCTTGGCCAATGAGGGAAGAATTCACTGGTGTGGATTCCTAAACAGCTGCCGGAAAGGGGACAGTAGTCATCACTCTTTTTCTCTTTAACTAATTTCCCTTTGCTCTCTTTCCTTGTTGCTCTCTGGGAAGTGGATGAAATTCCCTTAGTTAGCACAAGGAGCTTTAATTTAGGGCCACGGTCTCAATAAAACAACCCTCAGAATACAAGATTTTTCACTCCCTAGTGGCATGTTTTTGGATGTCCATGACTGTCCAATGCAATAAACTGTATTTCTAAACTTGTTACATGATGTAAACCCCTAATTGGATTAAAAGGCATTTTAGGGGAGAGTTTTATAACTCAGAGTTAATGCTAAATGATAAACCTAGTGNTTTAAAAATCCATTTCATCTACTAGAAAATAGTGTGGCAGTTCCTCAAAAAATTAAATGTAAATTACCAAATGACCCAGCAATTCCGCTCATTGGTATATACCCAAAGGAATTGAAAACAGGTGTGCAAATAGATAGTAGCACTATTCACTGTAGCCAGAAGGTGAAAACAAACCATGGCATGTTATTCATCCACAAAAAGGAATGACGCTCTGATGCATGTGGCAGAGTGAACGAACCTCGAGCATTATGTTAAGTGAAAGAAGCCAGGCACAGGAGGGCACATATTATATGATTACATTTACATGAAATGTTCAGAACAGGTAAATCCATGGAGACAGAAAGATTAGTGGTTGCCAGGAGCTGCGGGGAGGGGAGAACATGGAGGGACTGCAGAATGAACACAAAGTTTCCTTTTGGGGTGATGAAAATGCTCTGGAACTCAATGGAGATGGTTGTATATCATGGTGAATGTCCTTAATGCCATTGAGTTGTGCACTTGAAAATGGTTACTTTTATGCTGTGTGAATTTCATCTCAATTTAATTTAAAAACCCATTTCATCTGAGAGGAAAGCTGAAGCCCATCTATGTGTGTACTTTGTCAGGTACCTAGAGGCTTTTTTATTTTCATCTATCCTCTCATAGCTTCTTTTTTTCTCAGCTAAAGACTTGTCCCCCTTCAACTTTAAAATTACACGTGAACTCTGTCTTTGTTCGGGCAGGTATGACAAAATGCCACAGACCAAGTGGCAATAGACATTTATTTCTCACATTCTAGAGTCTGGGAAGCCCCAAGGTCAAAATGTTGGCAGGTTTGTTTCCTGGCGAGGGCCCTCTTCCTGGTTTGCAGACGGCCACCTTCTCACTGTGTCCTCACATGACAGAGAGAAAGAGAGCTTGTTCTCTACCTCTAAGGACACCAGTCTAATCATGGGGGCTGTACCCTTGTGACCTCATTTAACCCTAAGTACCTCCAGA